AAGAGAAGAGAAGAGAAGAGAAGAGAAGAGAAAAGAAAAGAAAAGAAAAGGAAGGAAGGAAGGAAGGAAGGAAGGAAGGAAGGAAGGAATAAAGAACTCTAGGGAAATAAAGCCATAAACAGATTGAGATTGAAAACGCAAACTCACTATAGAAATACTTAAGCCTGTTGGAGGAGGTAAAGCCCAAGAAACCAGAGAAGGGAAGGGAAGAGAAGAGGAGGTGAGCTTCCTTTTCAGAGTGTCTCTTCTAAGGAGGAGGGCAAAAGCTGTCAAGGCCCTATCCCCAGTCTCAACCAGCTGCTCAGTAAGGCCAGGACATTCTGCTTTTGCTGCCTTTTTCATGAGCCCGCTTGTCTCTGCCTCCACACTTTGCCTCTCCTTGTCCCTCTCTCTTACTTCAGTGTCTCTTCCTTTCATGGCTTATCAAATATGTGTGATAATTGTCGAGGGAACTGAGCAGGAAAAGAGGTTGAGAGGCTGCTCAAAACATCAGGAAGCTGACCTGCTGTGGGTGTGAGGGTGTGAGGGGGGTAGAGAAGGGCTGGGAAGAAGACATCTCAGACAGGACGGTGGGAGGAGGGAATGTGGGCAGTTTCTTCCCATAACAAGGACGAAGGACGACGGACGACAGCAGAGCAAGGTGGCACCTTTTTACGTCAACGATGCCTTCTTTTAAGCCTACTCAGATCCCTCAGTTTTCACCCAATAAATAAGACAGATCTAAAACTTAGTACTTTGAATAAGGTACATATCATAACCAACGTGCTAGTATCTCCGGGGTGAGACAGATATCTCCCCAGGTATATGTTTTACATATTCTGTTTCAGAAAATCTACAAGGATATTTTCTCTAGTCTCATCCCACTTCACATTTACGCCATTCTCCTCTTTTTAAATAGAAATACATTTCTAAAATACTCTTTCAGGGGAGACAATTAATTATAAAATGTGCACACTGAAAGGGATCTACACTAAACTTCCATTATTTTTTCCTCGGAGTGATAAATACTAAATAGTACCAGCAAGAACTGATCATGCAACATGGCTGAGTTTTTGAGAGCTTTTTTCTTTTCTTTTCTTTTTCTTTTAATGGGCAAGTCAATTTCACAATCAGCTTTTGTCAAATCACTTTATGGAAATGAACCTTACCTGGACCAAGTTATAAATGCACTCAACAGAATTCTTCTTGACATCAGGATCCGGGCTACTCAGTAATCTGATGAGAGGCTCTAATCCTCCATGTTCAAATATTTGCACTTTACCGGTATGTTCTGTCGACATGTTTGCTAGACAAAGACTGGCAAACTCATGGATAACGACTTCTTCTGTAGATCAAAAATAAATAGCACATTTGGAGAAGGGATACGGAGGTAGAGCATTGACCGGATGGGGAGGTGTGGTGTTATCTGTTAAAGATATTTTGATCAACGGGTCTGGGGAGAAATGTGCACATATCGAAATGGTCTCATTGTAAGTCAAACAATATGATTGAAAGTATATACAAAAAACAAATAATAAATAATGTGAAAATAAATAAATAGCACAAAGATGCTAAAGGCTTCGTCAGTCGCTACTTCAAAACAGGCTTTGAAAACCAAAGCTCCACAACCCTTGCCTTGCTTAGAACCCACCTCTTTTAGAAATTCAAAATTGAGCTGTGGGTTGAGAGATTTTAATGATAATTCATGATTGACATTTCAGAAACTCTTTTCCATAGGTAGTTTAGTCAAATGTAAAAAAGAAAGCAGTTTCATTTTTGAAATAGATGTCGGATGCAAAGTTACCTTCTGGAGCGAGCTGGGCAATAACAGAATTCATGACATCTAACTCCCTGAGCAATTTTTTAACGTCATCTGCCAAGGAAGAAACACAATATTGGTGTTTATTAATAATACTGGCAATGTCTCTTGACCCGTCCCGTAGGAGATAGGTACTGTTGTATTATTACCTAATGTTACGGATAAGGAAATCGAAGCTCGAAACCACATGGCCAGCAAATGGTGAGGCCAGGCTGCCTGCCCAGGTCAGTCTAACTCACACTGACTTGAGTCTGTCTTCCCTGATCACCAAGCTAGCCTACCCCCAAAAACATTAGAACTGACAACCACAAAAGTACAAAATGCACCTAGAACACATACTTACCATGCCCTATACTTGCTTATTATGTAATAGCAATTCTTTTGTTTTTTGGGAGGATATTTTAAAAAATAATTATTTCACTTACTTTCATTTGACCAGAGAGGGACAGAGTGAGAGAGACGGGGTGCTGGAGGGGTGGGGTGGTAAGAAAGCAAGCTGCCAGGTCTGGGACTCAAACTGCAGTCGGCCATGTGGGAGTCCAGTGCCTTTAACCACCACACTACCTTCTGGTCCCATAGGAGGTTATTTTTTAATTTTTATTTTAGTAAACATCTACAAAGTGCAGAAAAGAATTAGCCCAGCCTATTTCAATAAACACATATTGATTGCTTAAAGTTCACTTGATTACCAGATAAGCCAAAAATGTTTAAAGATAAATATACTGACTTTATCAAAGTACATTTCTGTAGGATTCACATTAGCCTCATGAAGGCTGAACAGGTACGGTCCTATTTGTTTCTTGCTATCCTTAACCCCATTTTTCAGAGAAGTAAGGAGCACGGCTGCTCCTTCAGTTTTGCAATTTCTCTTCATGCTCAATTAACTTCATCTGTGAGCCAAAACTAGCATTACAAGAATTTAGAAAACTGCTCTTTGTAGCAGCTGAAGCAGACAGTCTCTGGATAGATTCTTCCTCATTAACTGCTGAATACCCTTGACTCTTACTGGACACCTTTTCCTGAGGAAGAGAGGGGTGTGGTTGTTTTTCTGCTTTTCAAAGTTTCTGCTCTGTGTTCAAACTGGCTAAGGTAGGTGTAGTGGAAGTGCAGTTAGCTGTGGTTCGTGGACACAGTGCAAGTACAAAGGACCAACTGAGTTAGCCTGGGTGTACCACCTGGATCCTTCCAAGTACCTAAAAAAGTGTACAGAGGCACATCCTCCAGAAGGAGGGCTTTTATTCTCTTTTCACTCTGTGAGTCTGAGTCTGGGCTTCACTGCTTGGAATGACTAGCAAAGGCCGCATGAAGCCTCCCGTGTTTACGGGCTTCCAGAATAACATCTCTGGTCCTTTAGCTCTCCAAGGGTATTCCCCACGTGGTCCAAGAAATAACCTCGGTGCTGGCCCAGTGGCCTGGTAGTTAAGGGAGCCAGATCCATATGGCCAACCATGCAGTTTGAGTCTTAGTCCCTGTGCCTTGAAAAACATGCCAGACACATGTGCATGTGTGCTCAAAATCCTCATGGGTTAGAGAAATGAAAAAGAAGGGATGCCAGCATGACCATGCCCAATGGAGGGGGGGTGCTCGCTCACGCTCTCTTTCTTTTTTCTCTGTTTCTCTGGCTAGTGCACTCTCTGGCACATTAAAACAAAACAACAAAATAATCTTCCATACACTTCAAAATTTTCTGCTGCAACACAGACCAAGTTGCTGCCTCTGCGTGCAGCAAAAGGTGACGACATGCCTTAGCCTGACCCAATAAGCTAAATGCAAGAGGATTTTCTGGCCCATGAAATTCTTTTTTAGATCTAAATTTAACCCGGGTCCAAGAGATGTTCAGCAACCTAGCCTCTAAACCATTTTCTTTTGGTTCTATGGATGATTCCAATCCACTGGCAGCGCTTATAAACTGGTGACACAATTGATCAATTTGTTATTCTGCTTTTTGACACTAGATTGTTCAAAGAATCTTTCTTTTCTTGAGGAGAAATCAGCAAAAGTAATAGATAAGCTGCTGCTTCCATCACTTTAAACACAGTATCGATCTTACTTTAAACACACTATCGATCTCTGTCTCCTTCTTTTTCAACAGGGGACACTCTCAGATATGGCAACTGCATGGTGGTTGGGCCACATGAATGTGCTCAGTGTTCCAGTGGAACAGTGTCATTTTAGCTTGTTTCAGAACTGCCAGCAACTTCATTTCCTGAAACACCTCCATGCAGTCTGTTTTCATTGCATTCTTACATATTCTGGGTGGCGTAATATCGCCCATCTAATTCATTCTTGGCCTGGCATACGCTTCTGCATCCACCTATCCCTCAGATGGCAGGCTCTGCAGATGGCCTTGAGTAATATGAAGTCTAGGCTTCCAGGCTAATTCTCTTCGTGGGGATCCTGACCAACTCTCTCTTTAGCAGGCTTTATATAGTGAGTCTATTGTCATGCAGCCTCAAACTAAATACAAACTGGCAGCCAAATGTAGATAGCAGCTCCATTTTAAGGGGAAAGAAGGTTTAACAAAGTCATTTAAATGCCTGTCTTGAATGACCCCAGCTTAGCAAAGGCACATAGCTCAATCACATAGCTCAAGAATTTGCAACTGGACAAGGAGAAAATGGTTCTCAGAGGAATCCTCTTAGCTTTGGCATTTTGTGCAAACATCAGGTTCATCCACAATGACCACAGTGACACCACCAAGTACATGAAAACCACAGGAAGAAACCCGTCTCTGAAGAGTCAGCTATTTAACACTGCCCAAAGATGATGATTTCACTGTGCGGCTGAAGAACTGTGTTTGTTTACATACTAGTAAATGAAACATGGAAACATGACCTTTCATTAAGAACAAATGACTAGTTGTTTATTTTTTTATTCTAATTACTCTTGGACTTGTATGAAAAGTAAAACACTAGCTGGTAATTTGTTGGTTCCATTAACAGCAAAAAAAGAACTTCCCAAGTTGTTAGGATGCCATGGGTTTAATCCACATCATCAGATACTTCATATATTAATAAAAAGCAGTCAATTTCCGTAATGGTTTGATTTTTTTTTTTTTTCATCCAATTCATGGAATCGAAAGGAAGGTTTTGGAAGTTCATCCATTGGGCTAGTCCCATAGCCTAGTGGTGCAGGGGGTTGGATCCCACATGGCCTGCTGCAGTTTTAATCCCAGCTCTGGCAGTCCAAGAAACATTCCAAGTGCATGTGTCTCTGTCTCTTTCTGGCGAATGCAAAACAAAAGAGAAGAAAAGTAAAGAAGAAGCCCATTCATCACACCTGAGTTCCAAGTACTCAGTGGAGACCTCCACGGCAAGGGGGCTCTTCCCACTGCTGGGACTTGCACTTGCAGACCTGAAGCCTTCTCCTAGTAATAGCCACAGACTCACCAGCTGGTAGAGGGTGGTTCGATAGCTCGAAGAGAGCCATTCCATTAAGGCCCCAAATCTAACAGTAATTCCTAATATTTGGGAGTCAAAGCTTCCTTAGAAACTCATAAAGTTCAGGGCCAGTCTATGGCATGGTGGTTAAGGTGGCTGGTTACCTCGTGGCCAATTGCACATGGTCAAGTCATGGGCCTGGCAGCCTGAGAAACACACCAGGTGCCATGTGTCTGTGCTCAAAATCCCAAAAGGAGGAAGCGAGGGAGGAGAGGGATTGCAGCATTACCATTCCCCATGCGCTTTCTCACTTTCTCTCTCTTTCTCTCTCGCTCTCTCTCTCTTCAATCTTTTTTTAAAAAAAGAAAAAATTAATAAAATTTAATGTATAAATCCTTCTCAGAAATATTCGTGAACAATTTGGAGAGCTTCGCAGGTTTTTAAACACCACATTGGAAGATGAGAGTACTAAATAAAATGAAGAATAAAACTACACAGGGAAAATCACGGAGACCTAGACATTACATTAAATGTAAACAGGAGACTATAACTCCAACCTTTTTTTTTTTTTTTTTTGAGAGGTTTTCGCTGTAGGGCGCGCGCGTTCGCCAGACAGACAGAGAAAGACAGAGAGACAGAAAGCGAGAAATCACCCCCCAGGGGGAATGGCTACGCCGCAATCCCTTCTCCTCCATTCTCCTCTCGGGATCTTGGGCACGCACGCACATGAGCCCGGCGTGAGTTTTAAGCCACCGGGTCCAGGACGTGAACCACGGTCGACTACGTGGGAGTCCAGTGACATAGCCATTACGCTAACTGCTGGTTCCCATATAACTCCACTCTTGAAATGAGATGCTTTCTCCCCTAAAATCATTTAGAAGGGGACTCTGACTTAGCATGTACATTAAGGATTATGATAGAGAGTTGACTAAACCGTGAGTCAAAGAGCAAAGTTCTAACTCTATCTCTAATCTCAGTTCTGCTACTAGTCACCTCCAAGACTTTGTACAAGCAACCTAATCCTTGGAGGGATCTTTCCTGTTTTATCATTATTTTTAAGACAGGGTTTCTCCATGTCATGGTTTTCCTGTCTCAGCACCCCACACACACGGAGTATCTGGGACTACAAGTGCCTGCCACCACACCTGGTTCTTCCACACGTGGTCTCGCTGTGTTGCCCAGGCCAACCATGAGCTTGCAAATTCTCCATCTCAGCCTCCTGAGACACCAGGATTACGTGTGTGCACCCCATGCTGGCCTTTGGGTTGGACTAGAAATCGAACTCGGGACTTCCTTGTGATCCCAACCTGTGGAACATAGTGTCTTAGCAGGGCATACCGACTTGGTTGGGTCAGATCTTTCTTATTTTTAAAATGAGGAATTGCACAAGAAGTATTATGAAGCACCTTTATTTCTCAAATTCTGTAGTATGAAAATGGAATAAAATGTAATCTTTTATAAAATTTTCATTAAAAAAAAATTTGCCAAGCGCACATGCACTTGTCAGAAAGACAACCAGAGAGAGAAAAAGAGAGAGAGAGAAAGTGAGAAAGCACCCCTAAGGGGGAGGGTCACGTTGCATTCCCCTCTCCTCCAACCTCCTCTCTCCGGTGTAGGGCATGCACACCCATCTGCTGTGTTTCTCAAGCTGCCAGGTCCAGGGCTCAAAACGTGCAGTGGGCAATGTGGGATTCAGCCATCTTAACCACCATGCCACAGACTGCCATAATTTTCACTTTTTTGGTCGTAAATTTTCACCTTTTGAGTTTGGGTTATATAGTTAGTATAGCACTAAAGTACGATGATTATGCTGGTATGATCTGGAGTACGTACTTGGTCTTCATCTGCCTCCTGGTGTACAGCTCCTAAAATCCTTGGAAGTTTTGTGCTGGTGAGTTGATAGGTAGTTGGGGTTCCCAGGCAGCAGCTTCGGGATGGGGGCTGGTCACCAGAATGACCAAGGTAGGATTAGAAGGTTGGGACTTTCAGCTCCAATCCCCCAATCTCCAGTGAGGGAAGAGGGACTGAAGGTTAAATTGATCACCAATGGACAGTGATTTAATCTGTTGTGCCCATGTGCTAAAGTCACCATAAAAACCCAGAAGGATGTGGCTCAGAGAGCTTCAGATAGCTGAGCACATGGAGGATCCTGGAGGGAGACAAGCCAGAGAGCATGGAGGCTCCACACCCCTTCCTGAAGGCGTGTCCTGTGCATCTTTTCATCTGCATCCTTTATAATATTTGTACAGAGGATGTGTGTGTGTGTGTGGTGTTTATTTTTTCCCCTAAGATCTATTTATTTATTTAATTCCATGTTATTATTGCTTTTTAATTTGACCAGAGAGAGACAGAAAAAGAGAGACAGAAAAAAGGAAAGCAAGAAAGCAAGCCACCAGTCCAGGACTCAAACCGTTGTGGATCACGTGGGAATTCAGTACCTTTAACCACTAGGCCACCTGCCAGCCCCGATGTGTGGTGTTTTATTTATTTATTAATTTGGGCAGAGGGATGCCTTAGACAGGATCTCACTGTGTCAGGACCCTCCTGCCTCATCCTCCCCAGTTGCTGGGATTACAGGCGTGCTCCATATACCTGGCTTTTTGGGGTGAGCCAGAGTCGATCCCAGGTCCCGCATGTAGACTCAGCTTGCTGAGCAGCATCCAGCACATGCTACCACCCCGGGCCCTGTAACAGCCTTTGTAATAAACCAGCACACCTAAGGAAGCGTTTCCTGGGTTCTGTGCCCTGCTCCAGCAAATGAATGGAACCTGAGGGGGGCTCCGGTTCACAGCTGGTGAATCAAAAACAGGCACAACATCGGGAGCTTGAGATTGGCATCAGAAGTGGGGTGGGGGCAATCTCGGGGTCTGACGCTATCTCCAGGAAGACAGTGCTGGAATCGAAGTACATTAGTGCCCACCTAGTGTGGTGTCCGCTGCAGAACTGGTCACTTACTCCCTGTGTGGGGGAAGCTCACACCTGCGGTATCAGAAGTAGAGTGAAGGTACAGGAAAAACCGAGCTTGGTTTATTTCTGCATAGCCACATGGGCACTCTCTGAGATAAATTTACGGACATCCTTACACAAATGACTGCTCTCTTACTTGACTTCTCTGCCTCGGTTGCCTCAAACATGAAGGGAATAGTAGTAGCCCATACTTCACGGGTTACGTGTTAGGATGAAATGAGCTTAGAACATCCCTGGTTCACTGTAAGTGCCGCGCAAGTGTTAACTGGTAATATTATCATCCTCTTCGCTGGTTCGACGCTCACTGCCCTGTGACAGCCTCATCGTGCAGCCGCCTCCAGAGACTCCCAGGCCCCTTAGAGCACGGCCACCAGGACAGCTCCTGAGGTTGCTCCTTCCACTGCACACCCGACGAGTCCCATCTGCCCCCAATGCTGCGGGTGTCGTCAGCACGTCCCTGTAGCCAGGCTGCAAGGGGCACCGACATCACCCCAAACTCCCTTCCCCTCCTCCTCCTGCCCCTCGCTCGTCACTGTCTTTGAAAACACAAATGTCACAGTCCCGCTGGACTCTGTAGGATAAGGCGGCCCCACGGTCATCACACAGGATCCAAGGAAAATGGGAGGTCAGGGGGGGGGACAGGACATAGGACAAGAGATCTACGTGTGCCGCTCTGACTATGGTAGAAGGGGAAGACGGGGAGATGGTCGCCACACGCTGACAGAGGTGCATGTTTATTCCTCACCGCCCAGTTTCATGTTAGAATTCAAGTCTCCCCAAAGAGTGTCATTTAAGATTTATAAGTTACAGGTTTTTGTTGACTGACTCAAAGCACTATTATAATATGGGAAAATGATTTACAAATAGAAAACACATCCTGTTCCTAAGTCAGAGACTGTTTCTATTGGCATAGTTCTAGTCAAACTCATTTTGTATTAATATAAGAGGATATTTTAATTATTGGGTTGTCGGGAAAGTCGTGACCCATTTTTGCATAGAAAAACAGAAAAAATAAGTCATGACCTTCCTGACGACCTGATAATATTGTTAGCTGCCATGTTAAACATATAAAAATATTCCAAGCAAGTAAAGACCTGTTTAAAGAATAAATAAACGTCTAAATTTATTTTTGGCAAAATACAATTTACAGCTTAAAAAAACTAATTTTTCAACACTCTATACTCTGGACGTCATTCCACAGGAAATATATACAAAGTGTAACTGACATATAGTTGGGCAAATCTACATTACATTAACAAGAAAGAAACTATTTTGATTTTAAGACACCATGATTATTTTCTTACTTTGTAACACCAAAATGTACCATGTAACTGACTTTTTTAAAAGTTTATTTTATTTATGATAGTGCAATGTGTGCAGAAGAGGAAAAAATAACAACAACAACAAAAAGAACCAAAGCACCCTTGAGAGGGTCTTTTCACACTGTGGCCCCCTTCCCCCCGGCCCTCCAGTTCTGCAGGATCTCAGGCATGTGCACACACACCTGGTGTGTTCTGCAGCCAACACAGAGATCCAAGTCTGTAGTCGGCCACGTGGCTGCCAGCACTTAGTTCAACTTACAGTGGTGCCACCAGGCTGGGCCTACATAACCAACTTTGAGAGGAGTTGTGCATGAATAAAGGAAGGGACATCAAAAATGAAATTATGGTATAGGTTTGTTTTCGTATCCTCTAGTTTTTCCATAATATGCATTTTCTACAAAGTTTTTGAAGATCCTTTGTTTTTGCAGATATTTTTATATTTTAAAAATACTTCTTAGGGCCAGCAGGTGGCATGGTGATCGAGGTGCTGGTATTCCCACATGGTCAACTGCAGTTTGAGTCCCAAATCTGGAGGCTTGCTTTCTCACTCTCTCTCCTTCTCTGACAAGCATGTGAGAAAGATAATAACAATAATAAATAAATAAATAAATAAAATGAATAATTATTAAAAACAAAGCAAAACAAAACAAAAACCAACCTCTGAAAGGGGCCTGGTGGGTGGCATGGTGACTGGACTCCCACATGGCCAATCACAGTTTGAGTCCCAGGCCTGGTTGCTTGCTTTCTCACCATTTCTTTCTGTCTGTTGCTCTCTAGTCAAAATTAAAGAATAATAATAAAAAAATTTTAAAATAAATAAATCTTTTAAAAAATATCTCTTAAAACAAAGTATACATTTGTTACATTATACTGTTTTAGCTTCTTTGTTAACATTAAAGTCAATTTAAACAAAATTAAAATGAAACTCTTAAAGTTAAATTTAAAGGAAGGATAAGGTATTATATAAGAATAGTTGACCTTTTTTTAAGTTGATACTTACTATTAGAAGCCAGAATTCCAAATATCATAGTAGCATTTCTTCTTACAACTTTGTCTTCATGGGTAAGCAGTTTAGTTAAAGGTTCCACAGCTCCAAGTTCAAGGAGGGTCGCTTTGTTTTCTTCACCTGACATCACGGGAGAAATAAAACCATGCACGGATGTCACCCATGTCACCAACACCCTTCTTTGTTTCCTTCCAGGTTCCTCTCTGCCACCCACCTTTCCCATTCCTCTTGGCTTCCAATGATGTTTTTCTCAGAATGAAACGTAGAGCGCAGAGACCCTGGACATTTGCTGCTCTCCCTTCCTGATACTTACAAAGCCGGCTTCTTCTCACTTTCCATTCAGAGCGCACATGCACCTCTTCAGAGGGCTCCCCCGACCACCTGTCTGGAGTTACACCGTTGTCCAGTCTTCTCTCTCTCTGTCCTGCTTCATTTTCTTCATACCAAGAATCTGACTTGCCTACTCCACTGTAACTTAACCGTCTACAAGGACGGTTGCTCCGTACTGTTCTCTTGTGACCTTTTTGCCTAGCCCAGTGCTCATCACGTCATAGACACCCAATAAATACCTCACTGCATAATTAATTAAAATTATAAAGTAATTGATTGGCACATACAGTCCCTGCCTCCAGCTACAGGTTACTGCCTTCCGCCAGCATGAAGCTGTATAGGCACACAGAGGTGAGCACCAGGGTAAGTGGGAACCCTTTAACTACGGTGAGAAGCCCCAGAGGCAGAAGTTCAGTAAGGCCAGAGTCTAGCCTAACTTGAGAATCAGTTTATCCATACTCTGATGGGTGGAATATCTTTCTACAAAATCTGGAAAAACATTTAGGTCCTGATCAATTTTATCTTTTTAATTTCATTGGGTTATTAAAATATAGATTTCATTTAAGAAATTAATTTGGAAGTGTCTAATTTCATTGGGCTATGAAAATACAGATTTCATTTAAGAAATTAATTTGGAAGTGTAGTAGTCACTCTTTTTGTCCAGCATGCTCATAAAATCAAGATATTTTATCTTTTAGGTGATCACTTTATATTCTGAAAACAGAGCTCTCAAAACACAGTCTCCATATCTTTCCTGGAATTGCCCTAGAGCTGAAAGGTCAAATCTGTCCGTCCTTTGCTGAGAAGATGTTGAACTATGCATTGTCAAATATTATAAATTTTCCCCTTAAATCATCCATAACATTTCCATTTGACTGAAAACTTTCTTCTTAAATCATCCATAACATTTCCATTTGACTGAAATTCTAAAGTTAATTTCTTAGTAGAAAATATTTTGTATGTCAATTTTATTTTACAATAAATCTTAGGATACTTATGCTTAAATATATTTTTATGTATCAGAGTGTTAAATTTTTTAAGTGTCTACATTTTTATCCTAAAATTTTTATAATAAAATTCTAATTGCTCCTTCATTATAACATGTTTATCACTATTACTTTTGAATGATGGCATATATTCTGGTTTCATGACTGGAAGAAAATAATAATTTGCAAAATTAATAACTTCTGTGTCATGCTTTAAATCAATTTCTATTGTTTTTCCACAAAGTCTCTCTATGCCACAAGCCTCTTGCTTCAGCCTTTCAAGCAGCTGGGACTCTAGGTGCAAGGGGATGGCATCTGCCTTTTAGTGTGGGCTGGGAATCAAACCCATGCCTCCCATATGGCCTCAGCCTCGAGGGTAGCAGAGTCTCCCAGCACACACCACCGTGCTGGGCCCTATTTCTATTTTCTTAGCACCTTTTTATAGGTATGACTAAAACACAATAAACTTAAAAAGAACAATTTGATAACTTTTGAAAAGTGTGCACACCCACGAAACACCATCATTGAGATACTAAACATATCCAGTTCTCCCAAGGTTTCCTCTTGATACTTTGTAATCTCTCCCTCCTATCATTTCCTACTTTTCCATCCCATTACCAGGAAATCACCAATTTTCATCTACTATACTTTATTTTGCATCTTAGAATGTTTTATAACTGAACAACATGATTTGCATCTGTCATTGTTTTGCTGCATTCACTCAACCTAATTATCTTTAGATTAATCCATGTTATAGTAGGAATCATAGTTCCTTTTCATTGCTTACTACTATTCCATTTATGGATATACCACAATTTGGATGGATCATGTGGTAGGTATACACTAACATTTTAAGTAAGTGCCAAACTGTCTTCCAAAGTGATAGTACCATTTTACATTCTTATCAGCAATTTATGAGGGTTCCAATTTCTCTAGATACTAGCTTACACTTGTTATTGTTCATCATTTTAAATTTAGTAATCTAGTGGGTGTGAAGTGATATCTTATGGTGGTTTTAATTTGCATTTTCTTAAAGATTACTGACAGTGAGCAAAATGGGCATTTTTGTCATCCAATGTCCTCTTTGATGAGGTGTCTGTTCAAATCTTTCATTCATATGTGTTTTTTAATTTGGTTGCTTATTTTTCTATTATTGAATTTTAAGAGTTCTGTATGTATTCTGGATACCAGTCCTTTATTCCTTTATCAAATATAAAGTTTGCAAGAGTTTTCTCATAGTGTGTAATGTACCTTTTAAAAAAAATTACAGGGATTTGGGGGTACAATTTTAGGTTTACTGAAAAATGAGGGAGAAACAGAGTTTTTATATATCTCTTGACTCCTCTCCCCCATTCTCAGTTTTCCCTATTATTAACATTTTGCACTAGTGTGTTACATTCATTATAAGTAATGAGCCAATACTGGTGCATTAACTAAAATCCATAGTTATTTGTATATCTTTAGTTTTAACCTAATGTCTTCTTTCAGATCCAGGATTCTATCCACCTTATTAATATGTAGTCATTTGTCTCTTTGGCTGGGAGAATTTCTCAGACTCCCTTCATTTTAGACAGCCATGATGGTTCTGAGGAGCACTGATTAAATATTTCGTAGAATGGCCCAGAATCGGGATTTGTCTGTTTTTTTATTTGATCATGATTCAGCTGAGATTATGATTCTTTAGGAAAAATAATAGAGAAATAAAGTGCCATTGCCATTATGTCAAGGGCACATATTATCAATACGGCTTTTCACTGTTGATACTCATTTGGACCTGGCTGAGGTCGTCTTCGTCAGCTTCCTCGTCATCAGCTTACTCTTTTTTTGTTTTTTTTCTTTTTCTTTTTTTTTTTTTTCTTGGAGAGGTTTTTGCTATAGGGCACATGCGCTCGCCAGACAGACAGAGAGAGACATAGAGACAGAAAGCAAGAAATCACCCCCCAGGGGGGATGGTCACGCCGCAATCCCTTCTCCTCCATTCTCCTCTTGGGATCTTGGGCACGCACGCACACGCACCCGGCGTGAATTTTAAGCCACCGGGTCCAGGACGCGAACCATGGTAGACTACGTGGGAGTCCAGCGACATAGCCATTACGCTAACTGCTGGTTCCCAGTCATCAGCTTATTCTTTTCCCTGATTCTATATTACACTCTTTGGGAAGAAGTCATTCTGTGCACTCCATTTATAAAGACTACAACATTATATTTTACTTTTCTTGGGGGCAGAATGCATAAATGATGTGGAATTATTCTGCATGGTAGATTTGCCTTTTCTCTCTTCCATTCACTTATTTATTCATCATTTCTTTGTATCAGATGGACGTGTGAATATTTACTTTACTTTGGGTTATAGTCCAGTACTACCTTCTTTATTTTGTCACTCAAATTGTTTTAGCTTTGACCATTGGAAGCTCTTTCAGCTCCTGTGATATTTACAATTTCGAAAGCTACAATCAACCCTTCAAAATGACTATTCTACCCAGTGACTACTTAAGATTAAGATAGACACTTAGGGAGACACATTTCTTTCAGGTAATGCATTCAATGATAGTCTGCTTGTCTGGAAGAAATCATTTGACGGGAAGTAAGTTAAAGACTAGGTTGAAAAGTGCCCATTATGTAGTAAATATTTTAAGAAACTAATGAAATAGAAAGATAAGGTGAAAAAAAAATCCAAACCTTTTAAAGCAAATTTATAAATGGCTTCACACGCTTTTGCCAAAATTTCTTCTTCTGGAGAATTAAGCATTAACACCACGGTTGCTGCTTTTTTGCTTTCAATTGTTAATGGATCAAACTGAAATGCAGAAAGAAAAATACCAGGTTCATATTTAAGCTTTAAAAATCATATAAAAATGAATAGGGTCATAAAACTTAAAGAGAACATAATCTTGCTAAGGATGTGGTCACTGACCAATAAGTGCATTGTAAGATTTTTATTAAAAAAAAAAATCACTGAGGACTGGCACCTGTAGCAGAGTGGTTAAGTGCTGTACATGGGAAGCCAGGTCGCATGTGGCTGACTGTGGTTCAAATCCCATCCCCTGTGGCTTGAAAAACTTGCCAGGTGCTTGTGTGTATGTGCCCCAAACCTTGAGGGGATGGAGAAATGGAGGAAGAAAGATTGTGGCATGACTACGTCCCATTGGGTGAGGTTTTCGGTCCCTCTTCTACTCTTGCTTTCTGGTAAGTGCATGGGTGCACTGGGGATAAAAGTATATAAACAAACCAAAATAAATCACTGAAAGATTAATAACTGTTCATGTTGGTGGCCTTGCAATTCCTGGGATATAGTGAGACAGGTAAAATGTTCTGCAATCTGACAGCTCTAGTATCTCGATTTAGTCATATAAAGTCAAACAAATTATTCATCCTCCTAGAATGTCAATTTTGTTTCTATACTGGAAATAATACCTATCTCCAAGGATTAAGGAGAGGATTAGTGATCGTGTAACATACATGTAAAGCACTTAACATATTAGATGCTCCTTAAATAGCGTATCATTATAATTTGTAGTCAGTTTATAAGCATCCTTGAGTACTGCACATATTTGATGCCCTGATATCTTAAAAACCAGTACAGGTTTAGTATCCCTTATCCAAAATGCTGGGGACCAGAAGTGTTTCCAATTCGGGATTTGTGTGCGTGTGTATGGAATATTTGAATCTACAAAATGAGATATCTTGGGGATAAGACTTAAGTCTAAACACAAGACTAATTTTTGTTTCATACACATTTCATACGCAAAGCCTGAAGGTAGTTTTACATTATGTTTTTGTATTACAGTGTTTTGACTGCAACTTGTCACATGAAATCTGTCGTGGAGGTTTTTACTTGTGGTGTCATTCCCGTGCTGGGTTTTGGATTTTGGTGCATCCTGGATTTGAATTTCAAGATTAAGGATGCTCAACACATACTTGCTTTCAACCATTAGATGTCTGGGAAAGAAGTTATTACATATGTTGAAACAACAAAAACAGTAGAAAAGAAAATATAGCAAAATGCAAAACCGGATAAAATCAGAACAGGAGAAATAGTAACGTAGGGTAAGAAATAGTATATACAGATCTCTAACAGCCCTGTGTCGTGCTCTGAGACCTCAGGGATTGGTGTGTAGCTGAAATGAACAATAACAAACTCATAACCCCTAGGGCTTTCTGTGGTCAAAGAGAAAGCAAATTATTACACTAGTTTCTTCCATTTCCAGAGACTGGTGGAGGAGAGAACTCTCCTTATGATAAAGAAAACTTTTTTTTTTTTTTTGAGATGTTTTTGCTATAGGACGCGTGTGCTTGCCAGACAGACAAATAGAGATAGAGACAGAAAGTGAGAAATAACTCCCCGGGGGGATGGCCACATCGCAATCCCTTCTCCTCCCGGGATCTTGGGCATGCATGCACACGTGCCCGGCATGAGTTTTAAGCCACCGGGTCTGGGACGCGAGCTGCGGTCGACTACATGGGAGTCCAGTGACATAGCCATTACGCTAACTGCTGGTCCCAAGAAAACATTTTTGATCTTTAAAGCTTTAACTGCTTCTTTGTGTAGGCTCTTCCTACCTGGATATCTATGATTTTGGATATAAAAATTTTTGATGTTTCTTTTTAAGTAGAGGATAGAGAGATACAGTACTCTGAATAAGGAAACATAATTTGTGAGGTGGAAGGAGTGAAAAAGAAAAAGGATATGGCAGTCAACAAATGATCTGAAAATACTAAAAAATAACAAACAACTACATAAAACAATGATCTGAATGCACATGGTCAGAACAAAAATTCGCCTAGGAGACCACTGCTGGATGTCCAAATGGGGGCTGCTGTTTGTCTGTGTCTGACCCTGTAGGTGTTTGTTTCCAAGCCTCTTAGACTCTTCTTGGAGAGATAAATCTTCAATCAGCCATCTACAGCCGGCTTATGGCACTTGTGGGTTTCCAGTGACATGAACCAGTGAGAAAAGATGGCTTTAGCTAAGTCATAGCAATGGCAGGATGCTGTGTGTAACATTTATCAGGAGAGCACAAGGCCCTGCAGATCTACAAAACGTGTAAAGGAAGACTTCTGAAAATATTGGGGTTAGGGCTTGAGAGCCATCTTATTAAGGTATTATGAGGTAGCCTCCAGACGCCCAAGGACATCATGCCATCTGGGTTATGCATGTAACTCATTGACCAAAGCTTTTTAAATCTGAAAAATTAGAGAGCTATAGATTATACAATCTCTTCCAAATATAAAATTATAAGATTCTGGGACCAGCCAATGGCGTAATGGTTACATCACTAGACTCCCATGTAGTAAACCACAGTTCAAGTCCTGGACCCAGAGACTTGAAAATCACGCTGGGCGCATGTGCTTGTATGCCCCAAATCCCGAGAGGATGATGGAGGTGAAGGGATTGCAGTATGGCCAACCCCCGGGGGGTGATTTCTCGCTTTCTGCCCCTCTATTTCTGTCTGTCTGGCAAGCACATGCACCCTATAGCAAAAATCTCTCTTAAAAAAACTTCTAGAATTCTATGAAGTGCAATAACACACAGAAGAGGCAATAAATATTGTGATAAGGAGGGGAAAATTCATTTGCACTGGAGGTATATGGAGACAATGCATGGAGAGACACAGTTTATGAGTGGATTAAATGTGATAGGTCAGGACAAGGAGGAAGGATATTTGAATGAGCAAAATAACACTAAGATCTCTCTGATCAAGACAGAACAATTCTAGCACCTCTGAAGGTCTTCTCCTTGTTCTGTGAAAGGCAACCATCATTCTGATGTAACACCATCAATTTTTCTGGTTCTTAAATTTCATATAAACGGGCTTATACAGCATGCACTCTCTCATGTCTGGCCTCTTTAGCTCAACACAATACCTTAGAGAGTCATCCACATTTTTGCTTATATGACTAAGTCATGTTTTGTTTTTTAGAGATTCTTGCTAAAGGGTGTGTGCACTTGCCAGAGAGACAGAGAGACAGAAAGCAAGAAATCACACACACACACACACACACACACACACACAAGGGTAATGGCCACACCACAATCCCTTCTCCTCCATTCTCCCCTCGGGATTTTGGGCATGTATGCACATGTGCCTGACATGAAGTTTAAGCCACCACATCTGAAACTCGAACTGTGGGCGACTATGTGGGAGTCTAGCGATGTAACTATTATGCCATCAGCTGGTCCCTAAGTCACGTTTTTTATAACTATATGTTACATTCCACTGTATGAATATATCAGTTCTGACTCTTTTATTTCTGGTTTGAGGTAATCATGAGTGAAACTACAAGGAATATGCTTACATTAGATATACGGATTCATTTGTCATGAATACATACCTTGGAATGAAACTGACGAGTTATAGGGTTGACATAGATTGACCTTTCATAGATCTGTTGAAGTTTTCCGCAGTGTTAATCGCTTCACATTCCCACCAGCTTTGACTGAGCATTCCAACTGCTGTATGTCCTCACCAATAGTTGGTATTGCCAGTCTTTCTGATCTGCCTTTTCACAGCTCCTCAATCATATTTCCAATTCTATCTGCTTCCCACGATTGTGTTTGGAGAAATGCTCCGTTGTCACCCATTACGACTACATCTAGATAGAAGCACTCATGTTCTCTACTTTTCGAAGTTCATTCCTAGGGCCAGCAGGTGGCATGGTGGTTAAGGTGCTGGACTCTCCCATGTGGCCTACTGCAGTTTAAGTCCCAGACCTTGTAACTTACTTTCTTACTTACTTTCTTTCTTTCTTTCTTTCTCTGGTGAGTGCATGCGCCCTATGGTAAATCAAAATAATAATAATAAAGAATAAAAATTAAATAATAAATATTTTCTTTAAAGACATAAATGAGGGAACCAGCAGTTAGCATAATGGCTATGTCGCTGGACTCCCATGTAGTCGACCGCGGTTCGCGTCCTGGACCCGGTGGCTTAAAACTCATGCCAGGCACGTGTGCGTGCGTGCCCAAGATTCCGAGAGGAGAATGGAGGAGAAGGGATTGCGGCGTGACCATCCCCCCTGGGGGGTGATTTCTCGCTTTCTGTCTCTATGTCTCTCTCTGTCTGTCTGGCGAGCGCACGCGCCCTGTAGCAAAAAAACCTCTCAAAAAAAAAAAAAAAAAAGAAAGAAAGAAATGAATGAAGTTTTTTCTGTCTCTTACTAATTCGGGCTCTAGCATCCATCTATCATTCAGCTTTGTCTTTTGCTGTTCAGCTAGATATTCTGTTCATGTTTGTCTGCCTATCCACAGACGGGTTTCCTTTAGCACCTACGGTGTTCAGCCTTTGAGGGTTTCTTGGTGCTCAACCAGCAAGTGGCCAAAGATGCAGTTTGACTGTTCAGCCTCTCCCTCTGCAGCTGTTCGATTTCTTTGGGACTCCCACTCCTTCATACTGGCTTCCTCATTTCCTCACTTACTCTTATCCTGCTTAAATTTTACAATCTGTTGTTCTAATAACACTCCTGATAAGTCCTAAACTTCCTGTCCTTCTGTCTTTTCATCAGTCTTCCAAAACCCAAACCAGGCTTTCTTTGCATTTGCATTCATGCATCTGACACTAGCAGAGAATGTTAAAGGAAAAATGAATATCATTATATATTACATGTTCGACCATTTCAGAAGGGCCTCATGCAAACAAGGTTTCTACGTTTCTCTTGTAAGCTTTATTACCCCTTCTCATAAACTATTTCAGATTTTCCACCTGTCCTTGAGTGTTTAACACTGTTATCCCTTCCCTTTTCCTTCTCTCCACCCAGGAAAATTTTCAATGAAAATAAAATTGTCAGGGCCCACCATAA